TATGCATAGATGTTATATCTCAAGCACTGTTGCAGATAAGAACATGCAACCAATGCAATATTGAAGTTATTGCACAACAGAGCTGACAAAAACATCCGATGACCATATATGGTCATGTGACATCATTAAATATGCAAGATTGTAATACCTTAAGCACTGTTACAGACAGGAACATGTAACATGTTTAGTAAGAAGGCCATGCAATTTCCTTTAATATATTATTGTCAATGATGCTGATTTTGGAATGCTGCTAATAAGTCAGTGGGCTCGAAACCCGACATTGCTGCAACGCAGCTATATTAAAGATTTGTTTCTTTTGTGACAAGCCAATTTCAACTATACAGTGGAGCTATAACAATGACAGGCTGTTTGTTGAATAATTTGTACATGCTTTTACTCATTTGGAAAGGAAGTCTGTCAATAACTTATTGCCTTGAAGGGGGAGGCATTACCCTCATGATTCAAGTATAGAAAATGTGATCAATGTTAGATAACTCATGGTCACATTTTGTGGCCCTGTGCAACTGTTGTAAAAAGAGCTAGTTAACCATCATTACAACCAATTAGTTATTGTCAATGGGTATATGTAAATTTAATTTCTATACTTTGATTTTGTATAACCATGCTATATTTTGGTTTACATTGTATAACCATGGCAATTAAAGACTGCTGTATTGCAGTCAAATATATGGTTGTGGTCAAACCAAGATTTTGCCCTTATAATGTAGAAAGTCGTGTCTTATCTCATGGGAGCCAAAAATCAGTTTAATAATTGGTCAATAACACAGTTAATAAATATTTAACTGTTTATTATTTGAAATTGTTCTTTTATGTTAAATGTGTTCGCCATTACATTTGACACAGAATAACTAAGAATTATTATTATTCTGAAGTGATTATGTTATCACAGTTCTTAATGAGTTTTGAATAAAAAATGCCAACAAATTAGGTTTGGTATGTTGAGTCAAGTACATAAGGTCACTGATAGCATAGTCTAACCAGTACCATACCGTTGATAATTTGAATTTAATTTGATTTTAATTTGAAAGAATGCAATATATGTAATAATGTAACCATGCCAATGATAGCTTTATACAGTCTTCTGTTTGTCTTTTTACTCCTCGTTCAAACTCAGTCCGAAAATGGCGAGTTATGGAGTGACCTCTGTGTGTGAATCTGTACATCCGTTCTTCTTTGTGTGTATCTTAGACATACCTGGACCAATTACATTCAAACTTCACACATACATCATACATAATATTATAAATATGCACATCACATTGTTTCACAATCTGATTCAAGATGGCCGAGTGGTGGCCCTTTTGGAATGAAAAAATTTCACAATCAAGCATTGCTCGACTGTTTACGGATTGATTTTTTTCAAATTTGGTACATACATTGGACATTATGGAACCATTTTATTTTTCAGATAAGATTCAAAATAGCCGATTGGCGGTCATTTTGTTTTAATGAATGTGGTTTTAGTGCCATATCTATAACATGCTTTGACTGATTCAAATTTTAAATATTCATTATACATTATCTCATGGATATACAGATGTATCAGTTTGCTGATCGTATTTAAAATGGCCTACCGGTAGCCATTTTGTCTTAATTAATACTGTTCCAAAGCAATATCTCTCAATACTCAATATGGACGAGTACTTTTACTGTATATTACTATAAACAAAACTATATTAAACTTTGATGACTAACAAGAAATGTGCTATTAAAATACTATGTGAGTGTATAAATTGTGAAAGCTGGGTTATCACAAAATAAACAAGAGACTTGTGATCCTTGTAGATGCCCTCTTGTGACACCGGTGCCGATTGTTACTGGTCTGGGGTTCAGTGTGTGATGCAACGATTGTTACATGTACCAATCAGCGTTAAAATCAAAATTGGAGTGTAATTTTAATTCAGTTACATTACAATATTCTTAGGAATTTGTTTAAACTAAAGATACTAGACTATATATTGATTCGAGAATACCAACATAAGGTCGTTGAGGTCATTGAAATGCTCATTAATATTAATAGCATGGGAACTCTTACAAGGATCACAAGTCTCTTGTTTATTTTGTGATAACTTGGCTTTCACCATTTATATATTCACATAATATTTTATTTTACTGAAAAACACCAAAAAACAAACAAACTGGATACTTCATTGTTACAAATTAAAAGCATGTTGTTCTTTGTCATATTACCTGACGTTTTAAGTTTGTAATTTATTTTACACACTTTCTATTTATCATTTGTTTATTTCAGAATTGTATTGAACAGAATTTTGATAACAGCAACTTGTTTGTGTCCAAAAATACTGCCTTTGCCGAAGAGTTTGCATTTAATATTCGGAGCATATTTGTGCACATTGAACCAAAACTTGGTAAGTCAAAGCAAATCAGTCAAATCAAAAAGTAAGCAGTGTTTCGTAGCGGTAATCTGCCTAGATTTTTCATTAGTCACTTGGGCAAATACTACAAAGAATATATTAATTGATAAAAATAATAAATATATACTTTATAAAAGGTTTTCATTAAAAAGCAAATGCAGCTGATAGCCAGCTTTTAAGTTAAGTTGACTGTACTGTATCACTCTACTATGGAGATCTGCATACAATTCAGGTTGTTTGCAATATAAATCAGTCCTTTGCTTCTTGTTTTCACCTACTCCCTAACACTATAGTATTGTTGTACAGAGTCTGATATTCTTCCTGTAGGAGATGTACATGAAGTTGATCAACGTATGCAGTATGTCGGCGTCTGTTCTCTCTATGTCTTACATTTTCAAATATTTAGAATCATTGACAAGAAAGTATTTAAAATACTCTGGGATGTATATAAGAAGGTGAGGCGACAGCAAGCACACCCTACAATGACCTATTAGTCTAGTCTCAATATGTGTTTGGTCATTGCTAATTAACTAACTTTGCAAAAATTAGGAAGAAGTTGATTTCAGTGATTTGGTTCCTTGATTATTCTGACTACCCCGGTAATATTTTCACCTTACTAATATTGATAAACAAGTTTATTCCCTCTGACAGGGAAGGAAGTTCTTTTTTGATTAAAAGATGTGAATAAGTGAATAAGTCAGATACCATAACAAAACTACCCACAATCATCTACACATTTGCAGTATGTTGTCTCTCCATCCACTGCTGTCACATTTATGTGGAAGAAATTTTACAGTGCAGTCGTATTTTAAACATAAATCTAACAAATGTGCTCTCACAGCAGTAAATGATAGATCAGAAAAATATAACACATTGCCAATTGAAAGCCTTCCTGGACAGCATGTATGTAAATGTGTCGAAATGGGCGTAGTGCGAGTGGTTAGTGCTAGTAGCACTAATCCGAAAAAGTACTAGATCTAGTGCTAAAATGGCACTAGATCTAGTGCTAAAATGTGCACAGTGCGAGTGGCATTGTTATCGCATTGTCAACGACGTCGAATAATAGGAGGGGCATCAACAACCACTTTCATATTCAAACTACAAACAGTATAAAACATCGGCAATATACGCGAGATATCCATAATAATACTTTCTTTATATGCCGTCGTAAATTAGCCATCCGAAAATCTCCCTGGGGATTTCACGGCTGGTGGGCACTTATTTTGGGCTCAGAATTTCAAAAAATAATCATCAAATATTTTTTGGGGACTTCCATTTTCATCATTGAAGTATCTAACTAAGCAGACTTTCAACACCGTCAGTTGGGCCACCCAAGACGAAAGAAACTATTGCAGAATTAACAATAATTAATAATTCTTGCTGAATTAAAAAGTAGACCACCTGAAATGTCATTAAAGTGTCGTCCAGTGTCATTTTTCAAATACATTTGTTTTTATTTTATTGGTAACAAAAGTATATTTTAAACGACGTTTCTAATAAAAACGAACACAACTGCATTAAGCGATCCCGGCAAGCGATCACAGATGCTCAATCCAGACATGCTACGTTTCACAAACGTTGATTATTAGTCAGTAGTGATTATAATAACGCACAAAAAATAAATTCGTTGATTGTTATGAAATTCAAATAAAATTCAACTTAGTTTCATCGTAAGCAAATGATTCCGATCGCATATAAACGCTCGATGCGGTAGGGTATCCGCCATGCTTCTCTTGCATGAGTTGAGCTAATAGGTCAAATCGCTAATTAACCAATCAAAATGCTGGATGATGTCAACGCATTCAAATCACCATAGCTCATTTAAATATGTTAATGTTATTGAACGCAACGCGGAAGAGATTTGCCAATGTTGTATGTAGTACGCTTTTTTGGCTTGGATTTTGATGGGAAAATGGCATGATTTTTTTTAAATAAAAAAATAGTTGTTTTCAAAGATGAACTTAGCATAAGAAGAATAATTTAACATTGTTTACAGTGATAACAGC